TGTCTCTCTCTGTGTTTTTCTTCCCCAATCTCTCTGTCTCTCTCTGTGTTTTTTCCCCCAATCTTTCTGTCTCTCTCTGTCTCTCTCTGTCTCTCTCTCCGTCTCTCTCTCGCTGTCTCTCTCTGTGTTTTTCTTCCCCAATCTTTCTGTCTCTCTCTGTCTCTCTCTCTCTCTGTCTGTCTCTCTCTGTGTTTTTCTTCCCCAATCTCTCTGTCTCTCTCTGTCTCTCTCTCTCTCTGTCTCTCTGTGTCTCTCTCTGTGTTTTTCTTCCCCAATCTCTCTGTCTCTCTCTGTGTTTTTTCCCCAATCTTTCTGTCTCTCTCTGTCTCTCTCTGTCTCTTTCTCCGTCTCTCTCTCGCTGTCTCTCTCTGTGTTTTTCTTCCCCAATCTTTCTGTCTCTCTCTGTCTGTCTCTCTCTGTCTGTCTCTCTTTCTGTCTGTCTCTCTCTGTCTCTCTCTGTGTTTTTCTTCCCCAATCTCTCTGTCTCTCTCTGTCTCTGTCTCTCTCTTTGTCTTTCTTCCCCAACCTCTCTGTCTCTCTCTGTCTTCCCCAATCCCTCTGTCACTATCTGTCTGTCTGTCTCTTTCAATTAAAGCCAATGTAAATATATATATGATATGCCATCTTGAAAATTTGTATTAATATATTGTATGGAAAGGGCTTAATATAAGGTGTAAAACTTGTGCCCAACTCCCATTATATATAAATTGCAATCAAATATGTTAACAAAAAATAAAACCATGAAAGTTTTCTTCATTCCGAAATTATCTTCAACCTCTCATTATTTGTAGCACAAACAGGGCGTGAATGTTATGATGTTTTGACGTTCTGATGTTGATAGCATTATTGAGTCACCAATGCACCAGTACACTCGTACGGGACAATTCAGTATCAGCCATGAGAAACCTGCACACATATAGTCAATCAAAGTTACGTGATATTTACAAACGAGCAAGTGGTCATACTCTTCGACTTTAAAAAGGAATCTCTAAATTGAAATTGAGAAAGTATTCCTTTAAAAAAAGAGTCGTCAACCGTTAGGATCACCAACAATAAACGTGTGAAGCCCGGCTTGATTTACAATTACACTGTCGGGGCGTCAGCCTGATTAGGGTCGTTTTCATTTATCGCAATCCAAACGGTTGAACCGGCTCGACCAGAATTGTTCGTTTATGACATAAGTTCGGACTTTGTGATCTGATGCTGTTTTCAGGCGATCGCGCCATGACAAAGCCACACACGGCCTGCATAACCATTTGCAGGTCTGCCAGGATTTATACCAAAAAAACGTTACATTAAAAAAAGAAACAGGCCCCGGTATATATACGCTTTGTGAATGAACTTATTATAACGGTGATGTATGTGTTAATAACATGAGATTCGCCCCGGATAACCTTACATCGACCAGCTTCCAGGTAGACAACTCCCACTATTGGTCGAGAACAAATTAAATCTGACCACCTCATGATCACTTGCGTTTCATTTTTCGCCGTATTGACCCCTTGTCTACCTGACCGCTGTTGTTCGTCCCTATCTAATTACGAGAACCCGGTAATTTACTGATACCTGGTACTAAAACATGTACGCACAGACGAAACCACCTTGATGCGTTCAATTAGCAGTTTTCCAGCCGTTCACCTGGAAAAGTAGGGGATGCTCCCCGTCGCGCATGCTCATTAGTCGTGTCAACACCTCGCTCAGGGAAGCGTTTGACGCATGCGTATCATGCGGATCGTGTACTAAATACATCTCTGACAGAAGTGTGAGATACATATCTGTGCACCAGAACACCAGTGCATTGTATAACAATACCGGATCTGTTTTGACGAGTATTATAAAATAAAGTATTTGTGAATGCAAGATAACGAGTAGGCTTTAAGTGTGAATATTAGCACAAACAGTGATTATTTCTCCAAGCGAAACATACAACTAACAGACACGCTGGCAAAGCTAAAAGCAAGCTATTAAAGAATCGCTTTTCATTTCTCCCATAATATTAATAGGTAAAGAATATCTCATTCTATAAAGTATGATGACACTTTAGGTATGTACCGAGGTAATTGAGGAATTACATTTAAGTTCGTGCCGTCATACCGACTCGGACTATCATATATACAATGTATATTACTACGTACGCAGAATTGTTTAAGATCGATATCACTACGCACACGGAATTGTATACGATCTATCTAAGTCCATAACCTAATAAATATGAGTTTCTTCTAAGATTAAATCATGCAAATGATTCAAAGATAAAAATACAAAAGCAGTTAAAAATAGCGTAACAAATCATACCCATCGTTTTATTTGTGAAACACAAGTAAACATTATATTATATATCTATTTTCAAAGAACAGTGACAATTTTCCAATTGTATCTCATCTATGTAAAATGTATCTAGCTTAATCCAGAGGATTTGTCCAACAATATATACTCTGTGTTTTATTTACCACGAGCTTGTGAGTAACTGTCCCACTACTACACCTAGAGTCGACGTCAGAAGTTTATTAAACACCGACCCGGCCATGGGGACGACCTCACAGTGTCTATATCTTTTTAAAACCATGTGTACAATGTAATTCCTAAAATAATATGTAAATAAAAACCAGCGAAATTTTGCTTTTTTATCGTTGTTGTATTGTCACATTTTATAATGATGTTAATATGAATATTTACAGAAAATAGAAAACATCGAACTTTATGGCTTTAAAAGCAAGATGCTTGAAACAAATAATCATGTATTTTAAACTAGTCGAACTATTATTTAATGTAAATTTTATGAGATTTTAAATTCTAAATGAACTTTTTTTTTTTATATATATATTACTAGATACATTCAAATGTAGATCTTAGGTGATTTTCTGAAGTCTGTGATAATTTTGCCAACGACCTTTTATTACTATAATTTTTTAATTTCTTTACAATATTCCTTGAAATACACTGTTGTGTCAATGCCGTTGTTTTTATGAGGATTGCAATATCTAATGTGACGTAATCAATATATTTTGTGCCTTTTATCCTGACGTTAATACAAACAGAGCTGAGTGTAACATTTGGTGCTATATTTGTAATAGTTTATATAGAAGGAGACAGACACGTTGTTTGTAGTTTCGTTGACGAGTGTACCCTCGGTAAGTATTCAGGACTTTGTCGAGCTTCAGGCTTGGTGAGGTCGCTAATGCGTTTTACGTCTGTGACAAGTTGTTTGGTCTGAGCTAGTGCAGGGAAGCCGTAGTACCTCGGGCCTCGTCCCAGGCCAATTATACCAGGTTTCCCGTTAAATTGCATTATGGTCTCTTTCATTCCGACGCTTGCATTTTGTAGGTATCCTGGTCCCAGTATCAACGATGCCAGTCTATAGGATGCAGGGTCTGTTGAGACGGAATTAGATACGAGGATTTAATTTACCGTAATATGCAAAAGAACCTTCTGCTGAGGCATTGCTCGAAGCATTAATTGTATTTGTCTGTAGCGCTCACAAACAACATGCCTGTTTTGGAGCCATAATCTGGTTAAAACAGTCCTGCCACCATAGCGGTGCGTCCCGCCCTCTTCCATTCGAATTATTTCCAGAGTATCTACTGCAAACAATAGAAGTCCCCATAACAGATTCATTCCTAAACGGGACAGATGCTTTCCAGCGCTGCCATTGGTCATTTGCGCCTGTTACCTTTGTTCTCAAACATAAACAGTCCTAATTAGAGAAAACCTCGTGTGAGTTCGTCCTTTCTCGCGCGTGAGCCGGTTCACCGCTGTTTGTGACAATTTACGTTCGCCACAGAGCCTAGTCCAGGCCGCTGTAGACTGTGTGCCAAGTGTCGCTGTACCATCGCCGCCCAGTCCTGTAGGGTGCGCTACACCGCTATCCGCCGTTATAATATATATACCTAAATTGGAATCCTTCTCGGCGCATCATTTGTTCAGCGGTGACCGGCCTGTTGACATCTTGGTTATGTCGTCTGCTTCTGTGGAGGGGGATGTCGTGGCTTCTGCTAATCACACAATCAACAGAAATGAAATGTTTCAGACGTTCCAGTCCTGGGCCCTTCAAAATTATGGAGACAGCGGTAAAACGAAAACTGTTACGGAGAAAAAGTATAACAGGATAATACGAGTACTGACCGGTGAGGAACAATCTTCGGCAGAAAACTCAAAGTTCAGATTTTGGGTCAAAGCCAAAGGATTCCGTTTGGGACCATTGGATGGGTTAGACAAAATCCAAGGACTTACAGAGACATTACTTTACGTACCAACGAAACAGGTGGTAAGTTTGTGATTGTTGTAAATATCATTTTATAGATATCCACATTTCTTTTTAATTTATAATATTCCGGAAGTTTTTATTTAAATTGTGATACATACATGTATGGAGCGACAATCAGTGCTGCGTTCGATTTTTTAGGGGACAGATTACACGTGACATCCTGGGAGAGCGCGCTGTAGTGTTAAAGTGTCTATGAGGTCAGACAGAAATAATTAGCTGTATTAAAGTAATGTTATCAATTGAATAAGATGTGAGACGAGCAGGGGAACACGTTACATGAGTAGCCTATACACACCATGCTAAAATACAGGCAAAACTTTACTGTGTCTGGCGATCGATCGATAAGTGACACTTGACATGGGATTTCGTACACAGGCCCTGTCGGAGCGAAGTCGCGCCCAATATATCTCTTTTGCCTTATTCTTATCATGCTCCACCATACCTCAGGACGTTATCGGGCAATCTGGCCTGCTGAGGGTAATGAAGGTTCAATGATGATCCGCCGGTCTGTCCGGTGGAGTAAGCGACCGGGGCACGGACGGAGGATAAAGTCGGGATGAAATCAATTCCCAAATCCTCTCCAAGACTCCAGCTGATTTAATATCAACTAAACTTAGTTTACCGCCTCAGCAGCCCTCGGCATATCCGAGCGGAATATTGGGTCGGCTTTCCTACCGTCCGGTCAATATGTCCCGGGGACACGACCCACGGTCCAGATTTATATTAAACGATGATCAAAGAAAACACAGGGATTATTATTGAAATCCGACTATACAGTTTCTATGTACTTTTCTTATTTCCATATAAGTTCGTTACGCCAAGTATGCGTGTTTAGTGCTTCGTCTTAAATCTAATTTACGAAACCTACTGTCCTCATTTTTCCATTATTATTACATCTCTTCCTTTTCGTTATTTTCAAAATTTTGATGAGTCCGGTACGTAGCTGTCCCGTACCGGCTTGGCAGTGCTAGGAATCCTCGGGAGAGGGGAATCCATGAATCGAAATTAAGTTCACGCTAAGAAAGTCTAAATGCATTATCCGTCAAAAGGATTTGACATCGGGATGGTAGCTCGCGTGAAACCCCTAGTCGCCGTATTGATTAAGGGGGGCCTTGGCCGGCAAGGGTTCTCCTGACTCGGGGCTTATTTGACAGCCAGCGTCCTCGCTGGTCGTGGCACTAATTACCGACTGGAGATATGCCGGTACACGAAGCATCCACGGGACAACAACACCGGTATCTGTCGTTCTTAACCATTGCACATGCAAAGATTTTTTATTGCATTACTTACGTTGTCACACACCACAACCAGACTACTTCTTTGGTCCGGCCTTGCTGTTCAACAGGCATGAATGTATGCTGACCAGAAACCGCGGGACAATGAGTTTACTTTTTAGGGAGAGATAGAATGAACATTAAGCCGAAGTTTTTTTAATTTTATCTTAACATTTTGAATTAATACTGTAGTTATTAACACGTGTGATTTAAACACCAGCTCCCAATTATTTTACTGCCTACGTTAATTTGATAAATATGAAGATATACACTGGATTTGTCAGCAAATGGTGCTCCGCTTATTAACTTAATGAAAATACAAGTATTTCAATATATATAGACAACCGTTAAAAACGGTGCGGCTACGATTTATTTTAATGATAACTTATTCATTGACGAACAAAGGTTAACAAGGAATTGTATCGGTGTTTAGTTAGAAATAATATTTGATGTATACATAAATCAATATATAGAGAATAATACATGCCCTTTTCCATATCACACCCAGTATCAACCCGAGACTGCAATATCAGCCCAAGGGCCGAAGGCCCGCGGGCTGATATTGGTCGAGGGTTGATACTGGGGGTGATATGGAAAAAGGCGTGTTTTATTCTGTTTATTACATACTTACTAATAAAAACTACTATCATATGATTTATTTTCATTTTTGAAATATTGAAAAATGATTTTTTTTTCCAAATGGGGTGTGATCTGGGTTTTGCGGGCTGATATGGGTTTTGGGGTGTGATACGGCGGGGGCTGATACGGGTTTTGGGGGGTGATACGGCGAGGGCTGATATGGGGTAGAGCAATTGTGTCGTATCGCATATACAAAAAACCCGTATTTATTAGTAAGTATGTAATAAATATATATTTCAGCCTGGTATTATTCATAAAATCACACAGTTGATTTTTTTTTTTTTTTAAACAAATACATCAATTCTGATGACCAATTGACCCCTACTTAGAGGGTGTGACAGAGAAATCTCCATCCCGAGGGGTGATTAGCTTTCTCTTGTCTTATCATGTCAGTCACAACTCAACCGACAGTAGTCATAGTGTTTTTTTTGTTAAAAGAGCGAAAATAAATAATCACTCCTGTATGATGTAAAATGAGAAGTCTCAACCCGAGGGTAAGATATTTGAAGCTCGGCACGGGACTTTCTAACCTTCAAAAATCTAACCCTCAGGTTAGCATTTATCCGCCATCACACTTTAAACTTTAAACTTTTTTATTTGTCTCAACACATTTGTATTACAATGGTATACTGAGATATATAAATATAAATATTTCATGTACAGTAATTAGCATGCGTGGTTATATAGAGGGATACAGTATAATAGAAACGGAGATGTTCTGCAGTTACATATAATAAATACTTTCATGCAGGGGAACAGACAGAATAAAAAAAAATGATAAAAGGACATCATTTTTTTTAGGAATGCTTTTCTTTTAGATGACATTATAACCTTAAGCGATAAAACACTATGACGTCTAATTAACATAGGGGAAAGAAAAAATTTCCTTTCATTATCTAATGCCGGACATTCAAATATATAATGGAATTGTTCTCCGATATCTCTTACATTACACAATTGACAAATACGTTCATGTCTTGGTATATTACTCCTAATTCCGGCTTCTACAGGTAAGTTACTATTTCTACTGCCGCCAGCATCACACAGGGATAAGTCCTACCATGAAATATGAGTTGTGTACACAGCGCCATCATCAATGGCGCGTGAAAATTGTGTCAAAAATGATGACGTAACTCTGGTTGCTCTTCATAAAAAGATGAAACGATGGTGACGTTTTCAGAATAATGGCGCGCGTAAGCTGTTTTTTCACTAGGAAGACAGTTTTTTTCTGTTTTTAGACATTGATATCCACATCCCCGGTCAGGGAAAGATTCCTCTTTCTCCCACATCAGACAGCGTTATCCACACTTCCGGACAAAATATCTCGGTCCTACCCGAGGGTAAAGGCGGGGAGATTCCCCTGTCATTACATAGCCTTGGGCTAAACTTTTGAAATTATTATCCTTTAATTGGGTTGATTTTTTTTTCTGTCTTACCCAAATGCGTGGCAATAGTATAGTAGTCATTTACCCTAGGGTAAAGACGGGGGATTTCTCCTGTCCTAACCATTGCCTATTGCATGACGTCATGTCAACAAGAGCCGATCACGGAAGATAACTCTGATCAGCCGGAAATTATAAAATCAACGTGTTTTTTTCTCATGAAATTCTCACTTGTATTTAATGTGGGAGAAAAATAAGAATTCACCACTTTAGGAGTTGGACAAAAATATCAACCCTTGGGCCCCGAGTAAGATTCTTAAAAGTCTGTCCCTCGGCAAAGCCTTGGACTTGACATTTAAAAAGCTTACCCCTTGGGTTGAGATTTTTCTGTCTTCAGAGAGAGGTATTTTTCCTTGACCGGAAGACGTGCAGAAATACAAGGGTAGGCCGGGTTATACAACAGTAGGAAAACACACCGTCAGGAACAGAGCTCAGAAATACACGTGTAGGCCGGGTAATACAACGGTAGGACAACACACCGTCAGAAACAGAGCTCAGAAATACACGTGTAGGCCGGGAAATACAACGGTAGGACAACACACCGTCAGAAACAGAGCTCAGAAATACACCTGTAGGCCGGGTTATACAACGGTACATTTATGTAAGACAACTTCACCGTCAGGGATGGAGCTCAGAAATACACGTGTAGGCCGGGTAATACAACAATAAAGACAACATACCGTCAGAGATTAAGCTCAGAAATACACGTGTTGATCGGGCTATACAACAGTAAGACAACACACCGTCAGGGACAGAGCTCAGAAATCAACATGTAGCCCGATTATGAAGCACCGTTCACCAATTAGAGGTTGACGAGTCCCGGAATTGTGAATAGGCACTGAAGTTCTTCTTTAGAGGAAATACTCAACATTCAACAATCTGTATTCTTTCTTGTTTTGGATTTGAAAATTATTTAATTAATACAGATACAGAGTTGACGAATCCAATTTTATATTGCCTGTGCTATTTGGCTTCAAACGTTGTTGAACGAAATATTGAAGTAGCATATTGTTCCTATGAGACTGGGATTTATTTATTTGGGATTTATTTATTTGAACGGTTTAAAAATAAGTCAAATAAGAAAAAAATATGTCAGGATTGAAAAATAAATGGATGAACAGAATGTTTGAATTGTTCCAATCTGATAGTGCTCCCAATGACCAGAACCAATAAATAGTAAAACTAACAAACTCGCAATTAGGGAATATTTTTTTTCGCTGATTCTTTTGAACAACTATCGATCATTATAACGTGTCAATGACCATCGGTCAGATCTGTTCGGACACTCGGTCTTTGTGCCGTAACGTTTCACCACGGCAATGCCACTCACAAGACCAGGCGCTAATTGTACGCAGGTGCAATGCGAGCTCGTGCCCCCGCTAATTTCATGTTTTGTCGCTCCGTCTCTCGACGGTCCGCCCTTCCTCAGCACCTATTAGCGACCCACTGTGCCGGGCATACGACATTCACAATGACACAGCCTGCTTCCAGCTTTCTTTTTCCTCATTAATAAGTATGTAATGCTACAAACTGCGATTGTTTTGTCCGAGTGTCAATTTATCCCTAAGATTGGTGCAGACACTAAAGTGTGTAACCAACATTGGCTTGACGAGCACGTACAACGTGCGTACAATAACTCAGTAAG